TTGAGCTTCTAGGATCGTAGTTTTAAATAGTTTCCAAGCTTCCCCAATGGTTTTGACCTTTTCTACTTTTCCTTTCAGTTTCCTCCCCACATGTCCCCTCATATCAGAGAAGTTACCCTTTTTAAAGTTAAAAGTGGTTGTGTGAGTCTTTTTGGCCAATTCCCTATTTATACAAATGTTGAACTCAACAACATTATGATCACTGTTCCCAAGCGGTGCAATCACTTTTACATCTCTCACCAGGTCTTGAGTGTTACTGAGGACCAAATCAAGGATCGCCTCTCCCCTGGTAGGTTCCGTGACTCTCTTCCCAGGGGCCTTCTCTTTCCCAGGCTAAACATACTCAACTCTTTCAGCCTTTCCTCATGAGACTTGGACTCCAACCCTCTCACCATCCCGGTTGCCCTCTTCTGGACACGCCCATCTAGTCCAGCCGCCAGTGCAGGATCAGCCTAGTCTTCTCTTCCCAGGGGCCTTCTCTTTCCCAGGCTAAACATACTCAACTCTTTCAGCCTTTCCTCATGAGACTTGGACTCCAACCCTCTCACCATCCCGGTTGCCCTCTTCTGGACACGCCCATCTAGTCCAGCCGCCAGTGCAGGATCAGCCTAGAGTATCCCTGACAAGTGTTTGTCCAGACGCTGCTTACAGACTGCCAGGGAGGGGGAGCTCACCAACTCCCCAGGCAGCCCATTCCACTGCTGAACAACCCTTACTATAAAACAGTTTTTCCTAAAATCCAGCTGGTACCTTCCCACCCTTAATTTAAACCCCTTCATGCGAGTCCTCTCCCCTGCTGCCCACAGGAGCAGCTCCCTGCCCTCCTCCAAGGGACAGGCCTTCAAAGACTTCAAGAGAGCCATCCGGTCCCCCCTCAGCCACCTCTTCTCCAAACTGAACATTCCCCAGTCCCCCCTCAGCCTTTCCTCGGAGGGCTTCTTGGTCTCCAGCCCCCCCCCCTCATCATCCTCCTCGCTCAACTCTGCACCCACTCCACTCTGTCCACATCCTTTTGGAAGTGAGGCCTCCAGAACTGCACACAAGACTCCAGGTGCTGCCTGACTAATGCAGGGTACAGCGGGACCCTGACGTCTCGCTATTTAAATGTTATGCCTCCATTGATACACCCCAAGACTGCATTAGCCTTTTTTGTCGCCACATCACACTGGCTGTTCATATTTAACTTTCGGTCCACCCGTACCCCAAAGATCCTGTTCACATACACTGCTACTCGGAAGTGTATCCCCTATCTAATATGCCTGGTCCTCATTTTCCAGATGTTTCCAGATGCTCACCCAAAGCACAAGCAGCAACTCTTCCCTGACCCTGCCAGCTCCTGGCACTGCCCTGGCCCGGTCCTTCCTCCTTAGCTCTCCGGAACCTGTTCCCTGCAGCTAATCCGCTCACCCGGGCCTTGCCCCCTCCCCTGCAGGAATCCAGCCTGCAGGCAGGGCCCAGGCGGGATCCGATCCCTCCCCCCCCCTCTTGGGTCTCCTCTGGTCCTCCCGTGTTTCCCGTTGTCCTCCTCTCCATTTCCATGTTTAGATCGCAGGGCCCTCGGGCTGTCCGTCTCATTCCCCGCAGAGTGCCAGGGACTTCGGTGGGACAATACAAAGACAGAAGTGGCCCCGTTCACCTCCCTCGACTGGTCCCACTGAGAATGTGCCCGGCCCCTTTGGAGAAGGCCAGGAGCCCTCTTCTGACCTTGTGGCGGCCCTGAACACCAGGCCTCACAGAGAACTCCTTGAACCAGATGGGCGGCGGGAGAGGCGGGTGAGGATTTGCCAGAGAACTTCAAGGCCAGCAGCTTCCCCCCCAGCTGGTTTCCGAGCCCCTTCTGCCTGGCTCAGGGCTCTGCAGCCCAGCTAGGACCAGAAGAAGACGTCCTGCTAGAGAGACCCCCAGCCAGAAGCCTCACCCCGGGGGGGGGCGTGGGGGGGCAGGAGGGAGGCCGACTTACCGTCTCATCCTCCTTCCCCTCATTGAGCAGGGCACGGTGATTCACTTGGAGCTTTGTCTCCATCCAGCCTGGCAGATGCGCTCACTCTTGGAGGGATGAGCAGACAGGCCACTGCTGCCTGTGACTTGAACTCGGGCCAGGAGATAACTTTTCTTCCCCCGGGTGGGGCCGGCTGCCTTTAAGAGCTGCGGAGTCTTCCCCGTGTGGGGCCGGCTGCCTTTAAGAGCTGCGAAGCGTGCACCCGCCTCCTCCTTGTGAAAGCCAGAGTGGCAGGAACCTGCTGAGCCTCTTTGGCTCACTTATGCAAGTCCCTCTTTGCATTCCCTTCCTGGTTCACCCTAGAGCCCTCCCGGTCAGGGACTGCTGTGGCGAGCACAGGTGGTGATGGTGTGTGTGGGGGGAGATTTGCAAACACCCCTCCTCTCCCCAAGATCTGCACAGGAGCCTGAAATGCCGGGAGGGAGACGGCTGGAATGTGGGATGCGGCACCTGTTGAGTCCGGTGCAGCTTCAAGGCGCATGCATTGTTTTCCACATGTGTGTGTGTGTGTGTGTGTGTGTTTTGGGGGGGATTTTGAACAAAGAAAAAGCAGTGGGTCTTTCTTGAGTGCCCTCCTCTCCAGGGTTCACAGGCACTGGGGGAAGAGTCCCTTCCCACCGTCTCTGGTGGCGGTGGGCCCTCTGGAGACCAGGAAGGCATCAGAACCCAAGGACATGGCTGGACGTGGCTGAGACCAGAACCCTCCCCCCCATCAGTGCAGTCCCCTAACTATGTACGGGACCTTCCATCAACCTTTCTGTTTTGCTACTGCAGATGGGGGGGGGGGGTTGTTGTGCATCTGGTGGGGCTACAGTACACAGCTTGTGAGCTGAATCCAGCTTGGGGGGGGGGAGGTTCACAGGCCGTGCAGGTCTGGGTCACAGAAGGTGGGGAGACACAGTCTCAGCCCCTAACTCCAGCAGACAACTGCACTAGGAACTTCACTGGTTGAACGGGGAGGTCCGGGCCCCTTTGCCTGACCTCTGATGCTTACCTGGAATGAATGCAGGAGCAAGAAGAAGGGGGAGGTGGCAGGGCCGGACCCAGGTTTCTTTACACACTAGGCCAGACTACCTTGTGGCGCCCCCCCCACGAGGCTACCTTGTGGCACCCCCCCCCCCAGGTGCCAGCCCTCTGTGCGATACTGCAAAAGAAACCCCTGTGGCAGCAGTCCTGTGCACAGCGTAGAACTTAATTCCGAATACACTTGCAAAGGATTGAGGCAGCAGCTGGCCGGGGGAAGGGGCATGCTCCGGTGACAGCTCCGGCGCTGCTTCTGCGTCCCCACCGCCACTGCCAGCCTGCGGGGAAGGAGGGGAAGGAGATCTGCCGCCGCCGCCTAATAGCAGGGCAGGCGGCTCCCGCTCCCCGCCGCCAGTGCTCTCCCATTCCCTGTAAACTGACGGGGCGCCCAAGACCCTGCACCTGCCAGGACGCGTCTCCTGGCGACGCTGAGCAGGGCTCAAAAGGCAAGGGAGGGGCGAGGGTGGTGTGGCAGACCAGTGCGGCGCCCCCTTTCAGGGGCTGGTCTAGGTGACTGCCTAAAATTTGTCACTGATGGGCCAGCCCTGCAGGGTGGCCAGCTGTCTCCTCCCTGGCAGATCCTCTTCACACTGGGGGCCGCCTTTCATCCCTCGGCCACTGCATGGCTCTTGTCAACGTTGGTCAGTCTTCACAGCCACGCTGAGTGGAAACTGAGACTCAGGCTCACAGTCTTGGGCCAGGAATTCTCCAGGGGATCCAGAGAGTGCGCGGAGAAGCCCCAGGAGAGCCAGTGGATCCCCTTCCCAGCCTGGTTTCCAACTTGGCAGATCCCCCTCCTCTTTGCATTGAAGTCACTGCTGGGGCACCGGAATTCTTCACCAGAACGTGTCCTTCCAGCGGATGCTGCATCCAACACCTTGGGGGGGGGGTCCTTCCAGCCCCTCTGCTAAAGGCAAAGACACACACACACACACACACACAGGTGTGCAGGCCCCTTCTTTGCAACGCATTCAGGTGTGATGAAACAAGGGCTACTGATCATCTGCTCCTTCTTCTTCTTCCAGAACTGGCCTCTCTCCAAGCCTCTCCCCGCCGATGGGCACACCTTGTGTTTCGGAAGCTGGAGTGCTGCTCCCCGAGCACGGCGGCTTCCACTGTGACTTGATCCCGCAGGTGTGGCAGGAACCCAGCCGGCTCTTCCAGGACAGCCGTTTTGGATTACCAGGCAGGGGAAACGACTGGCAAAACAGACGTTAGGGAAAGTCCGGGATGTGGAAATCCAAACTGGCCGGGTTTGATTCCCCACGCCTCCTCCTCCTCCACATGAACGCTGCTGGGTGACCTTGGGCAAGCCACGGTTCTCTCAGATCTCTCTCGGCCCCACCTGCCCAGTCACAAGGTGCCTGTTGTGGGGTGGGGAAGGGAAAGTGCTTGTAAGCCACTTGGAGACTCCTCAGGGTAGAGAAAAGCAGGGCATAGAAACCAAGTTCTTCTTCCGGAGGTTGGCAACTCTACTGGCCTGCTGTTTCTCTACGTGACTGAAATATCCTGGGTTCCAGACGCAAATAAATAAATAAATAAATAAATAAATAAATAAATAAATAAATAAATAAATAAATAAATCAGCTCATAGTTTATTAGTGATTTCAGCTTAACTCTAAGAAAACTCTAGCAGGGCCAGAGACCTGCTTATATGCATGCAAAACACCCCACCCCACACACACACCCTCCCCGTGACAGGCTATTTACAAAACATAACCACTTGATTGGTTTCTTCCAGAGTCCTGGTTGGCTATTGTTCTTGTGCTCCAAGCTCAGCCAGTCTCTAGGGTGATTCAATCAGGGATGATTCAGTCCCAATACATAACAGTGACTTTCTGCTCTTTATGAGAACAAAGCTTGCGAGGTCCACTCATCTTTTTTGGGGGGGGGCCCCCCGAAGGTGATTTTTATTGCATTTTTCAATAAACTACAATGAAAAAAGGGAGGGGGAAATTACAACTAAAGGAGAAAGAAAAGCAAACCACTAAAAACCCAAGTATAGGAGATCATTACAACACCTTATATCAGTGTTAGTCTGAAATGCTATAGTTACATTGAACATGGTCGTTTAAGCTATATTATTTTTCTTTATGACCAGTAGTTTCACTGTTTAAAGAAAAACACAAGAGTATTAACAGTTAATAAATGCTTATAAGGCACAATTCAGAGTTCTTCAGCCTTCATTTTGTTTTATTCTTTCTAATCCTCAATTGGTAATCGTGTTTGGGGGCTGCTGCCCCCTTCTCGGAAGCAGAATCCTTGTCAGAAGTAGAAATAGAAGAAACAGTTATCTCGCTAGGTTTGCCGTCTCCATCTTCTTTGCCGTCCTCACCCGACTCTCCCAGTTGCAGTCTCAGAAACTCCCACACTTTAGAAACAGAGTCAATCTCTTCTTTTTTTGTCCTTAAGTTTGAAAAGGATGACTTCAGGAACCAGCCATCTGTAAGGAATGCTGTTTGTTTGTAAAAACATAACCAAGTCTTTATATTCCTTCCACTTCTTCCTTATTTCAAATGGGATATCTTTTAAAATCCTGATGATGTTGCCTCCAATTTTCAAGGGTACTCCTGATGTTGCTTTCAAGATTTGGTCCCTCACATGTCTCTTCGAGAATCTTACCACTATCTCTCCAGGCAGATTATTCTTCTTGATGTATATGGAATAGGCTCTATAGACCACATCCATTTCGCTTATGCGAGGTCCACTCATCTGACTCAGTCTTGGGTAGGGTGGCCTCCCTGGCCATCCACCCATCATGGGTCTGTGTTCACAGCCCACAGTTTGGGCTAAGGCCTCCTGCGTAAAACCTGTGCCCAGTGGCCTGGAGCTCTTGTCAGCCTTTTACCCACCCAAAGGAGAGATGCTCATTCATAGCATCTTCTCCAACAGGGAAAAAATCCTAGCTTCTGTGCAATGGGTTCTTTCCCTAAGGGGTCTATTCCCGGAGGCTCTCAAGGAAGCGATAGTCCGCCCTCTCCTAAAAAAACCAGCACTGGATCCGACCGACTTGACCAACTACCGGCCGGTGTCCAATTTGCCTTATTTAGGCAAAGTAATAGAGAGGGTGGTGGCGGCACAGCTGCAGGCCTTTCTGGATGACACCTCCGCGCTGGATCCGTTTCAGTCCGGCTTCCACCCGGGCCACAGGACTGAGACAGTACTGAATATAAGCCGGCCTGCGAGCCGGTCAGTTGTCTTTGTTCTCCACTAAATAAAGGTATGCTTAGCTGAAATCACTCTCCATCTGCATACTTTTCAGTTTGTCACTGTTTGTCACTGTGCCTACTCATTCTCTCCTTAATAACAGCTTCCGCCAACTTACCCGGTATCAGCGTCAGACTGACTGGCCTGTAATTTCCAGGATCTCCTCTGGAACCCTTTTTAAAGATGGGAATGACCTTCCTTCCAGTCCTCAGGAATGGAGGCAGATTTTAAGGAAAGATTACATATTTTTGTCAGGAGATCCACAAGACATTTGAGTTCTTTTAGAACTCTCGGATTTATGCCATCCGGGCCTGGTGATTTATCGGTTTTTCAGTTGTCTATCAGTTGTAGGACCTCCTCTCTCGTCACCTCAATCTGACTCAGGTCTGCTTTGTTCCACCCAAGAATGCAGTCCCCATGAGCAGACCTTGATTCTGGGGCCAACGATATCCAGACTGCTACTTATACTGAGATATTCCAGTCTTTGCTGCAAATGTAGTGCTTGGCTCTGAAATGTAGATTGTGTCACAAAGCCAAGAAAATATATTCAAGTTCACAGTGGAAAGAAAGAAAGAAAGAAAGAGAGAGAGAGAGAGAGAAAGAAAGAGAGAGAGAGAGAGAGAAAGAAAGAAAGAAAGAAAGAAAGAAAGAAAGAAAGAAAGAAAGAAAGAAAGAAAGAAAACACTGCTGCCTCTGCCTGGCAGCCATTTTGTTACACTTCCCATCACCTCTGCGCCAATTACAAGGCGAAGACAAAATGATTGGCCTTCACGGAAGGACAGCAGGGAAGAGGC